CAGGAAGCACCTGTGGTGGGACCCCCTTGCTGAGTGGCGCGCACAGGAGGCTCCGAGAGTCTGGGGTGGGGAGGGGTGGGGCGCTGAGCCACCTGGTTTGAGTGAGGGGATTGATCTAAACCTGTTTGTGGCAAAGGAAGAGCAGGTGGAGTTAGTTCCCAGTGATGCCTGGGGGAGGGGGAGGGGCGCATCCCGCAACCGCCCGGCCCTGAAGGAGGCTGCCCAGGACCGAGACCCTCTGCTTGGGGCCGTCATGGGAGGAGCTTGGGGTCAGAAGGCAACATCTGGGTGATCAATTGATCGATGGGTTGGAATTTTAAAGGACGGGGCCTCGGGCTGTGGAAGCAGCCCCTCCAGGTCCCCCACCTGAGGGGCTGCCTGGGTTTGGGGAGCAGTGAGTTGAGCCGGGGTGTGGGCTGGGAGAATGGGGGCCACTGGGGCAGAGCACCCCGTCTTCCACGCAGACGCCCATGCCCCAGGAGCCTTACTGAGTAGTAGGGCAGGTCAGAGGCCGCAGTTTAAGGGCGAACCTGACTCGGGGAGGAGAAGTACTTCCGGGTCACAGAGCTGGCTGTGCCGGGCGAGCCAGCCTCCCTGCCCCTCCTAGAACAACCCCGAGGCCCAGGCCCTGTGGACAGAGCCGGGCAGCACGGTCACCATGGAGGTGGACGCCGAGTGCCTGCCTGTGGTCACAGACTTCATCAGGTGGGTGTCCCGGGGCGGCTGGGCACATGCACATACACACACACACATCACACACACATGCACACGCACATGCACACGCACACACAGAGACATCACACACACACATGCACACGTACACCCCACACGCAGACATCACACACCACACACACACATACATACACACACGCACACACACACACACACACACACACACTCGCACACAGGCACGGCCCCGTGGGAGTGCTCACTCGCCACCACCAGGGGGCCCCGCGGGGCTGTGGGAACTGGGCTGGAAGAACCCTAGGAAAGCCGCGTCTCCCTTATGACTTGCGCTCCCAGGCGAGAGGGACACGCCGGGAACCAGGTAGCATTTAAGAGGCGGAGGCCTGCTTCCGTCCGTCCGTCCGCGGGTTTGCTTCTAGGCCGGTCTGAGGAGGAGGCCGGTGCCGCAGCCTCGGGCAACGCTTGGGGCTCTCTGCCTGCCTGTCTGTCTGTCTGTCTCTCTCCTGCCCCCAAGGCAGAGGCTGCATGTCCGGCCCCAGGAGACCCCTCCCCATGGGGCCAGCCCGCAGACACCCCCTTCCGCTGCTGAGGCCTCTGCCAGTTACCCGGCCCCTCGCCAGTGCCCGTGGTTACTCGGGTCACTGACACCCCACTCCTTTCAGGGTGTTGGCAGGGCCGGGGACGATGGTGACTGCTCCCACCCCTCAGGGGCAGGCGGAGCCCGGGGCTGGGTGGGGACTGCGCAGCTGAAATGAGAAGCAAGAGGCGGCGACAAAATCATCCTGCCAGGCCCGCCCTCTGTCACCGCCACTGGCTGGGCCCCGGGTGGGGGGCG